ACCCATAAGCCGACGTGGCGATGGAGAGCGGCCGGTAGTAGTGGAGTAAGTAGAGGATTTGCGGCCACCGTATTACGCCCGCTCCACCCCCAGCCCCACACCCTTGCGGCTCATCACACAAAGCGAGTAAGAGCGTCAGCGCCGCTCCGCTCTTAGGCCTGGAGATGTAGGGAACGCTTTGTGCCCCTCCGCGCCCCACGCCCCGTGCCCTGCACCTCGACGACGACGGCGCCACGACCACGGCCAGGTAGGCGGGGTAGGCACCGGGTGGGAGGCAGGCGGGGATGGCACGGCACGCCCCTCCGAGAAGCGGCAGGGCGTAGTGGAGGAGTGAGGAGGGGAAAGACAAGCAAGCGCTCCAGATGAAGGGAAAAAATAAAATAAAGATAACGATGAGGGGAGGGTGGGCGAAGAGGGAGAGTGTAAGAAAGTGGGAGAGGGAGAGAGAGAGATAGTAGATAAAGCGAGGAGAGAGGGGAGGAATAAAAGGGGAATGGTGTCACAATTATATGCTTCTCCGGGCTCTCATTAAGTTGGAGACTTTGCTCTAAGGATTACATGAACGCACACAGCGGGGGCGCGGGCAGGGCAGGGCCGGGACGGGGCTCTGCTTTGAGGGCCCCGCCCCGCCCCGCCCCGCCCGAACCACACGCCGTCCTAGGGGCTGAGGTTGGGGACGTCACCCTCGCCTCTCCGCCGCTTGTTTTCAAAGCCGTCGCCCACCACGCTGGCCGCCGCCGGCCGCGGTACCGAGACCGAGGCTGCTGCTGGCCGCCGGAGGGTGGTTGGCTCGGCTTGTTCGAATGGACCTCGCCGGCTGTGGTGATTGGATGGGATGTACGCTGAGTCCACTGAGTGCTCTCCAACTTGCATGACTTTAAAAACACATGTTGGACAAAATGCATGGGCTGTGTACTCTGCGTGGAAAATAAAAATTCTTTTTAAGCACTTCCGTGTGTACTTTTCGTACTTTGTATCGAAGTTTGTCTTGCTTGGACAAAAGAATTAAAACAAAAAAAACATGCATGCATGTATGCAAAATACGTATGCGGGATCAGTGTTTGTATTTTTGAAGAAATAAATTTAAGAAC